TCTAGAAACATTCACTCTTTAAACAGTGAGACACTCTTCATGTCAGCTACCTTTCATATCTTATGCAATAAATGTCACTGAATATCTACTTCAAACTCTTCTATTAAACACCCCGAGGCAGAGACACGGTGGTGCAGAACCTAACATTGTTCACTGCGTGTCAAAACAGAGTTGAACAATAAGGCTTTTACAGGAGCTGTGCTGAAATATATTTTTTTAAGGGATGTTGGTCTTTACAAGCCTAAAAAAAAAAAAAACACACACACACACACACACACACAAAATAAATACAGGTATAACAGTGCTACCCCCATCCCCTTGAACATCTGTTAGGTTACACATCCAACAGAAAACAAAGTCGAGGTAAGACTCCAAGGCTTTCGCTGTGATCCTTTAACTGCTAGGGTGTGAAGCTTCACCTTTTTATAAACATACTGCTTTTAGGGAAGGGTGATATGGCTGAAACGTCTAATCTCCAATTTCATTTCTGCCAAATCATATAGATTTTTTTTCCCTTTAGTTTCACAACTAAATATAATACATTACTGTCAAAAACTATATTTTATTTTATCCCCTTTTAGAGATAAGCCTACTTTTAATGGCAAATAAATTCTCCCTCTTTACTGAGTATGCATAGAGCAGACTTGTCTGTTTTCGAGATTGACAGCTGACCCACCATGCACTGCAGCAGCAGCTTCCAGGTTAGCGCTCTCAGAGCTCATCAAGATAAAAGTTCTCTTTTCTGTTGCCGTTGTTCTATAAAAGTAACTTTTAAGATCATTTGAGGCAAGACCATTATACCTTTAAGCATCACTATATGGCTCGTTTACCGATTTAGTGCATCGTTTTCAAAACCAGCGGACCTCACAGGCTAACCACAGCTAGGGCTAATTTTAGCCCGTCTGCAGCGGTGCTCTCTCGAAATAGCGGTGTGCGATGTATTGCTGGCTTTGACAGCGATTATTTTTCTTTTATTTGACAAAAAAGTTAATTTCATTTGTGTTTGTATCACCCAGCCCTAGCTTCTTTGCTCATTTTTTACCCAACTTAAAGGAATAGTACACCCAAAACATGATTAGCCTTCATTTTCTACTCACCCCCATGCTGAACAACACCCTGGAGTACTTTTTTGATATCTCAAATGCATCTGGAGATCTGGGAGGCTTCTTGCTGTCTGCTGACATTCAAATTATGGAGGTCTATGGTGACCGAGACAGAAAGGTCCATAAAAGTCCACAAAAAAACGTGTCAATATTCCTCCATACTGCTCGTCCGATGTATTCCAAGTGTCCTGAGTGGGTAGCATCCAGAATTTACTCGAAACGAAGTCATTTAGAATGTTTTTAGAGCATAAACAGTAGTGTATAGGATTTCCTGAAAGCGCGCACATGCGCGATCACGAGGCTACGGAAGCCGGCAGACCAAACCAGATGAAAGTGCGCATTCAGCGTCTGCCCTGCCAATAATGCAAGCGTAGAAGAAGAAATGTGCCGTTTACCTGTGCAAAGAAAGAAACAACGAAAGAAAAATGTCTGAGGACTTCAGTGTTGAGGAAGAGCATGAGTTCTTTGCCGAGCTGAATGCGCTGGTTTGGTCTGCCGGCTTCCGTAGCGTCGGGATCGCGCAGGTGCGCGCTTTCAAGAAATCCTATACACCACCTTTTTAGGCTCTAAAAACATTCTAAATTACTTTGTTTCGAGTAAATTCTGGATGCTACCCACTCAGGAAACTTGGAATACATTGGACGAGCAGTATGAAGGAATATTGACACGTTTTTTGTGGACTTTTATGGACCTTTCTGCCTCGGGCGCTGGGCACCTCCATTATTTGAATGTCAGCAGACAGCAAGAAGCCTCCCAGATCTCCAGATGCATTTGAGATATCAAAAAAGTACTCCAGGGTGTTGTTCAGCATGGGGGTGAGTAGAAAATGAAGGCTAATCATGTTTTGGGTGTACTATTCCTTTAAGACAAAAACAAGAAGCTTTCTACCACTTCACAATCTGCACTAACCATAGATCACTTTGAATCAGTGTATTGATACAGCAACATTTCTAATAAATGATGTCTCAGTGCAGATAAAAAAAAAAACAATTCAGTGAAAGAGACAGATTTCTGATTAATTCTAATAATCTGATCACATTTAGGTCACATTCTATAAATTGCAGTTCTATGTTCCTCTGCTAACACACCAGACTACTTCGTAGTCAACGTGAACGACCAATGATAGTGAATCACTGGTAATGTCTAACTTTCTTATCTGCCAACTTCTTTGTGTGCATAGCGGTAGCCACATGGACAGCCATGGCAGAAGCCAAACTGAGGAGGTGATCGCTAAAGAAAGCTCTACTTCCACTCTATAGATCTGGTTTGACTTTTCCGCAAATTAAAACACACAGATAAAAGTAATTTGCAAAGTGTGCTGAGACACTAGGAATGTCCAGATCCGATGTGAATATCTGTCCGATATTAGCCAAAAAACTAAACTAATCGGGCCAGCATCTAAAATCTCCTACATAGACAGAAACTTTCTACTTCTGTTAAATATTTCTCTAACTCATTGGTTATTATAACATGTGTCAGTTGTTCCCATACATATAGTTGACTATTCTTCAGTTTTAATGATACAACTTAATCAAGCCTTTTCCATCATCCCAAATTACAAAAAAAGATAACAAAAATCAAGTACAATTAATATGGATGTCGTATCAGGTCAATAATCGTTATCAGCCAATTCTCAAAGCTGCAATATCCGTTTTGTATCAGAAAGAAAAAAGTTGTAATGTCCTATGATGCTGAAGTAGCCGCAAGGGCAGCTAGATAATGTCAAGATGTGGAAAACATCACCATTTTACCCTAGTTTTGTGTTAAGGAGGGTTGTTTATGTTGGTAGTCTGTTAATGCTAAGCGAACATTATGTTTATATTTATTTATATTTTTTTTAAACAAAGCGGAGTGTGTATGACGTCATCCGCGAACGCCGGCTACCATTCATTCATCCTGTCCGCTGAACTGCTGCTAGTACTCGCATGCCTGGAAGATGTCTAGTTCTACTACCACAGATGATCTCACTCACGAAATGGAATTGAACGATTCAGATTAGCTAGCTGGATGAATATAGAGCGTAGTCGCATGTGGCCCGGGCTGCCTATGACAAATCCTTCAAGGGAGCTGCACAAAAGCATGGATAAACTGAACATGGGGCCACTCAAGAATCAGGTAATGCACTACAGCATTCAAAGTACGTTTAAGCTGTCATTTACTGCCCATCAAAAAATGTTAATTAAAATCAAGGATGGCATAACATCAGGATGATGTCTGTTCTGGAGGATTTCATGATAAGGAGATCAGTTGGCTGCAGGGTTAAATGATTTTGTTGAAAAAAAGCTTCAATGTCTAAAGTTCATCAATGCAGTACATGACACTTATGTTGATGGGCCTCGGCTCTCTTTATTCCCTGTGTGGCAGCGAAACCCTCCGTATCACCAACTAAAGGACTGGAAAGTTAGCATCTTGTTCTTTATAAATGCAGTGTTACAAAATTGAGTGCCTTGGGGATTTGTAAATTGTGTTTTGTTAAATTGCAATTATACTGCTAATGCAATTTATTTCCCAGCCCTAATTGCTTGTTTGCCTTAAACCGACTACAATGTTAAGAATATCTACAGTATTTTCATAAGCCTTCAAGATGTAGCGCAATAAAGAAAAACAGTCAGATTTGTTTTAAAGAAAACTGCAAAGGCGTCCACAAAAAGTCTTCTGTTTTTGTTTCCTTTAATGAGGAAACTTTTTATGTTTTTTCATTCCCAAGTGTTTTTTTTAATCAACCTTTATAAAAAGAACCATCTCAACATTGTTCAGCTGTTAATGTATTCACAAAACAAAAGAAACTATTTTACTTTGAACTTCCTTGGATAATTGTCATATCGATTTTACATCCAAGTTAAAGTCAAATCCACAAAAGGTTCAATATGTGCAACTAGCAAAAAAAAAAAAAAAAAACTAAATTAAGGATTTCAGACTGAAGGAGGACTGTAGAACAAGTTGGCAGGCATACAGGTTGAAAGCAGTAGTCTAGGAAAGCCTGCATGAGAAATCACATGGCTGACTGTAAACAAAGCAGTTATGCAACAATCTGAGATTCATGCAGCTGCTAGTAGGTACTAAGCTATCAACTCTGCAAAGGCTGAGCTGAGCCGGGATCAGTGTGCAGGGGAGTCATGACCAAAGCCCCATTAGGGGCTCCCATCCCCCCTGCCTTAATGTGACTCATGTTTCCCCGCTCAATATTTGCCTGTTTCCCGCACGGAAGGGGGCGGGAAAGGGGAAAGAGCGCCATAATACTCCTGCAAAAAATGTGAAGGGCTTCAATCTGCAGTTTTTACTTGGAAACACCCACGTGCTATGAACGATTTACAAAAAAGCAACATGTTTATCACCTTGCAAGAAAAGTCCCAAAACTTAAACACAGGCTGCAAAGCTAGTGCAAGAAAAAAAAGTAACTATACGTGTGCATTTCCACAATCTGCATGGAGTGGGATGACAGCAGAGCCAACAGCAATGTGGAAGCTGATTAATAAAGCAAACCACAACAGGAAGGTAGGATGTTTCATACAACACTGTGTAAAAGAGAGAGAAGGTGATGCTCTGAATTCTGACTGCAAACAGCTAGAAAACACGTCACACTGCCTGGCTCTTTATTTGTTGACAAGACAAAGTCCAAACGCCAAAGTGACATTCTGAGGCAAAACCCGACCCCTCCGCTACAAACACCCGCTCTTCTAACAAGTTGTCATAAATTAATTAAAAAACATCGCTGATAGCTCGCAAGCTAATAGCCGCGCTAGGCTATATAATGCAACTGAGGCAGGGAGAGAAAGCACATTCACCTCCGTTAGCCGCTAGCGCCCATCCCCCAACCGCCCAGCCTTCCCTGTCTGTGTCCACCATCTTTATTCCGTTACCACAGCACAAAACACGAGAAAAACACAAGACACTCACCTTTAACAACCATCGCCGAACTGGTTATCGCCTTTCCGCACGTGCGAAGGTTTTTAGTTTGAATATTGTTGGTATATTTATATTGAAAATTGGCAGTGCAAGCGGAACCGCGCCTTCAGATAAGAGCAGCAATCCTAAACCGCCATCTGGTGGTATTTTCCTCTCTGTGATGCAGCGGGAGCGGCGCAGGCTCAGACCGCGACACAGCTGCCCCCTGGCGGACAAATCGAGATGCGGCGAACAGGAGTCTCCTGGTGGGAGGGAGGGACCCCGCCAGCGAAGCGGTGACGGGGACGCGCACAGGAGCAGATACTTCCCCTAAGATTATTCATCTATCTAAAACACCTGTTGAAAACATCAGTATATTTTACGCTATTGAAAATATATAGTAAAATTCTAACTAAAGCATGGGCCTCTACACCTCCACAATACTAGGACAACCAAAAGTTGAATTATAAGAAACAAATTTATCCAAGATATAATTTTCAGCGCTCTTGTCGTTTTTCATTGTCCTCTTTTATTCACAATGTCTTTGTACCCGTTTGTTTCCTGTCTTATTTGGTGTTGTTTTTTGGCGGTTTTTATTTAATTTGATTAATTGAGATTTATGTATGCACTAATCTTTATTCTGTTGTTCTGTGTCAGTAAATGTGTTTATTACTATCTTTATTATATTGTACTGTTAATATTGTTTTTTTTAACTCTTGTAATCATACCATTTACCTAACTTTTGTTAAATTATGCATTCACTGTGGCATGAAAGTGATGGTCACAATAATCCTAATTATACCAAATTTTTTTCAGAAACCTATTTGAAGCCCAAGTCAACTTTATACATGATCTTTCTAAGTTAACTGTCTTGAACAAAAAAAAAAAAAAAGCAGGATTAACAGCAATCAAAAATTATTCTCAACAAGAATGAAGAAATAAATCATTAATTTCATTTTTTGGGGTTTTGTTTTCTTGGGATGTTTCTTCTGAATAAAATCATATTTTAAAAGAAAGCTTAGATTTGAGTTAATGAACTTTACCTTAATGTTTTTTATTGCACTTTCTACCTGAAGGCACAAAAAAGAACCTGGCTAAGGTATATTGCCAGGCCGCCTGGCTAAGAACTGGATGAGCTATAAACCCAATTATAAAGCCTGGATCTGCTCACATTACTCACCCCAGCAGCTCGCAGTGACCTGATAGGAGAAAATCTACAGAGGCAGATAAGTAAAGTAACAACTTCACTTTGTTATATAATCCCTACATCAGGGTCATTAAATAGACATTAAACCCCTGAATAAAACACTTTGATGTGTGGATGTAAAAAAAAAAAAGACATCTGAAGGTCTTGTTTTTCTTGATTCTTAGAAATATTCAAATTTCCATCACCTCATAGAGGGCGAGGGATATCAACATGGTGTAATGGATCAATTTAAATGTGCTGGCTTCAATCTTTCTTTATATTTTCAATATTAACACTTTTTTATGCTTGTGGTGGGAAAACCTTGCAGATTGGATCATAACTCACTAGTTTGTTTCCCTTTTGTAAAAGTCTGTGTTTAAACAAAGTAAGTTTGTCGTATACATCATGTACACTGACGTGCATTGTAAGTATATCATATAATTTCTCACACATTAACCAACTTTTTTTTTGATGAAAAGGTTTTTTTAAGCTGTTATTTCCTTATCCCCAACATTTAAGTCTGTTGAAATGCTTGCATTAAACAACAACATTCTCATTCATTTTCATTTTCTGTCATATTTGTTTCATTAAACGGAAAGTCATTTAATTGCCACCTGACCTAAGGTGCTTTATTAATTAATATTTCTTTATATAGTATCTGTTTTTTCTGCTTGGCTCGGATCACATCAGAAATACCGGAAGCTTGTGGATGGTGATGCATTCTTTTGGTTTTAGTTGGTCCCTCAAGCTAACTGGATCGAAATTTTCATCCATCTTATTCTTTTTATTGTTTCTGCGAAAAATAATTTCCAATCTGCAATCCAATCTGCTGTGCTCCTGTTGTAGTCTTATTGCGCCATGCAGAGATTTTTGTTGCATAACCAGCAAACGTCTATCTCTGCCTTCCAATGCCCCAGTTTGAAATTTTGATGAGATTCTGCTCTGTGCATTCGTACCTAAATCCTTTTTTTTTTGGAGGCAGACAATACCAAATGCATCATCTGAAAAAATTTCCTGAGGCCAGATTCATGGAAAAAGATGGATTTTTTTTTACAATAGAGGGAAAATCATCCATCCTTTACTGCAGTCAGTAAAAAGACAAACTTTTTAACTTTTCTTTTTTAGCTCTTGCAGAGAAACATATTAACTGGAGTTATGTCTCTGTCTGTATAACCTTTATGACTGTTGATGAACAAAAGTCTTTACATGGCTGTACGAGGCCTGTATATAAGTTCTATTTTTTGCTTGCACTGACCTTGCTCACAGTTATTTTACTCCCAAGGCTGCTCTTCCTATCTGACAGCCCTGCCTCCCAACACTCATCCTCTCTATGCTTTCCTCCTCACCACCCACCACTCTCTTTCTGCAGCTGTTGCAATTCAAAATGTATGAGGAGCAGGGTGTTCTGCTAGCTGGAGATAAAAAAACAGAAAAATAATGATTACAGCCTATCATAACCTTTCAGAGGTGAAAATGGCAGCCATCGTCTGTCATTTCCACCTCCATCACTGAAACACACACAGATGGCAGTGGACACAGTGTGAGTGTGTTCTGTGTTTGTATGTTCGTCTTAATCATACAAGGAGTGTTTAACCTTCTGCTATATGAGTCTCATCTGCTGCTGTTATCGCTGACTCACCATTAGCATGCAATCACTGCTGTGGAACATGGTTGCAGCAGCATCATGCTGGGGATAATTTTTCATTTCTTTTTTTGCAAGTAAAGGGACTTTGTATAGAAGAAAATTTGGTAAAAAAAATCCAGTAACCAAATGTTTTATTTAGTATGTTAAACTATTTTATTTACTACATGTCATTGACCTGGTAGATGGACTGAATTCGAGTATAACCTTTTCTCCTTTTCATACTGACCTCTCAAGGTGTAGATACACATTTTTACTCAGCCCTCCTCTTTCTGAGTCAGGGTTTCCCTCATTGCATGACTTGCACATGTTAAGGTAGGATTCTTGGGGTTAGGGGCCTTACACCACAGGCACATTAACGTGCAATGGAGGATAGAATCAAATTCAAAACCTGACAGAATGCCACAGGTTTCTGATGTCCCCCAATGAACACACAATCTCTCCTGTAAAACACAGTGAAGCAGCACCTCAGTGGGGACATGCTTTTCTATTGCAAGAGTAAAGATGCTGATTATATTTGTGGGACTTTTTCACATTTTGTCACAATGCAAACACAAACTTTATTGGAACTTAGTGTGACAGAATGTGTAGAATGTGTATTGCAGGATATTTGTAACTGCACTCGTCAGAGGCTTGGTGCAGGCAGCGTCATACTGTGGGGATGCATCTTTTACAGAGAGACATGACAGCTGGTTAAAGCTAATCTGGGTGCTAAAAACAAAGCAAATCCTGAAAGAAAATATTTTGCAGGCTCTGAAAGACCTGAAACCAAAGCTGATCTTGGCTGATAGGAACATGGTGGGAAGTAAATGCTCATTGAAGACAAAAACACTACTTTTTCTTGGCATTTTTTTCTTCTAATTTGCCCATCTTGCACCAGTGATGTATTATTATTACTTTTCTGCCGCTACAGTCCGGTGAGTTTTGCTGCCGCCGAAAATTAGAACAGCCTTTGAGACACGCAGGGTAAAACAAGCTCTAAAAAATTATATCATGATTATAGTACATGAACACCCACCATCACAAATAACCGACAATACTCTAATCAAGGAGTAACAATGAGCTTATACTGTTCTTGTCCCTGTGAAATCATTGGAAGGGAACTTTATAAAGGAGCAGGTTCAAATAGAGTGATGTGAAACACTGAAGTGAAGTTGTTCCTCTTAGCAGATGCTTTTTTCTCCACGGTCTATAAATAATTTTGTCCTGACCAGAGAGATGGGGCAAGAAAGAGTCGAAACAGAACCCTGATGACTCTCGCCCACCTTCTCTCCTCTCCGCACCACATCCTCTCAACATATCTTCATCACTGCAAGCCAATTGCTCCTCATCAGAAGCTGCTCAGTTCAGCTCAGCCATGACAAACCTACTACCAAGACCTGCAGAGCAGTGGATGGGATTTAAACTGCACCCCCTGAATAGCTGGGCCTAAAGCACTCTCATCTGCTGTAACCATGGTAACACCTGATATCCCTCCTCATCATCAGCCTAATGCTTAAACCAGATGTAGCAGAGAGAAAGAAAACTGCAGGAGCAGCTCCAGGGACATGACCATTACAAAACTGTATAGAACCACGCTGCAGGAAATTAGCTTTCTCTGTCTAATCTATTTGCTCAGGCCGAACTCAACTAAACATGCTGCTTGGCTTGTATTTCTGGGGCAATTATGTGAAAACAGCCCGCCTGGTTGTGTTGAATAAATAAACAGCACACATTAGATTCTGTCCTCTGTCGATGCTCGTTAATTTTTTTTTTTTATAGTCTGCAAGACATTTTATACAAGTCACGACCTTCTTGCATTACAAAGCACATCCTGCAGTATACATATGGTACCAGATATGAGTAGAGGCCGAACAAAAAGATAAACTTTCTTATTTCAGGTCATTGAGCAAGACAATATCTTATAAAGGATAATGCATAGTAAAGTCTTTTTTACTTTCATAGGTTCATCTGTTTCCTTTATGGGTAATCCTTGACTTTTCACTATTGTTTGCTGGATTTCTGATCTATTCTATAGGTTTTCTAGGCCGCTTTTGTTTCAGACGGACCTTTAAAAATGCCTGAGCGAAGTTGCTTCACATCAAATGATTTCCTGATAATGCTATTTATTTTGTGAAGAAAACAAACCACCTCCATAAAAGACCTCTAGTGAAAGACTTTTACTCCGCACTACCGCAGGTCATTCATTCCTGCTGTCAAAAGACTCTACAATGCGGCACTATATTGCCAAAACTACTTAGTAACCTGTGCTATAACCCCTTTTTATATTTGATATTTAATGCAATAACATTAAATATAAATACCCATCTATAAATACCCATCTATATAAACACCTATTTGATATATATATATATATATATATATATATATATATATATATATAGAGTCTGTCATGATGTTACAAAGTTCAGACCCAAATGCAGAAAACCGAACAGAGAGACCAGGGAAAAGGTTTAACGGGTTTTTTGAAGAGGTTAAACAGAGGGAGAAGTGTTGCTCTAAACACTACTCAACCGGAAGTTTCCAGAGAAATTGCTGAATCCTTGACTCCTGTCTGTGTCCCATGGTTCCAGTGTTTGTCTGATTCGGTGGAGGGCGGAACAGGGTTTACCCAGAATGCGGTTATTAGATATTTCACCACCCCTACCGGGGAGGGCAATAAACATCTTAAAGTATCAGGAACATAAATTCCCAGCTGGCTGGGAATTTTAAAATAACATAAAATCACAACAGCTATAACAAATAACTTTGGTAATTCTAACTGTTCTGGAAGATAATCTGAACAATGTCCTGTCTGAATATATATACAAGTTGGTGTTATATAAACATACTACCTTCAATCAAGAACAGGAGGTTAAGTCCATGTGACCTTTACAATTCAAACATCTTTCTCAGTAAGTGTAAATGTGGTGATGTGTTTTGCTTCTGATTACATACGGAATTGATTTGAACATTGACTTTTGTCCAGCTCCATGAATCCAGATGGAGGAGTCCCTCCTTTGCTGACAAGTGGATGCTTCCCTTGAAACAGCGTGATGGTTTGGCCTTACAACAGCCAACCTGGCTGCAGTCTGCAAAGGTTAATGAATTTATAATAATAATGAATTTAATTTATCATGCACTTTACATTTGATTTCAAATCTCAAAGTGCTACAAAACAAGTTTAAAAGACCATAACATTAAAAACAGAGTAAAAAGACAGTCATTAAAATCAATACATTAAAAGGCATACGTAGCCTATTAAAAAAAATCTAAAATCAACAATTGTAGGAATTTCTAAAAAGGAAAGTTTTTAGTCCTTTCTTAAAACAATCCACCGTCTGTGGGGCCCTAAGGTGGTCTGGGAGGGCATTCCACAGACGGGGAGCTGCGGCTTCGAAGGCCCTGTCGCCCATTGTTTTTAGCCGTGTCCTGGGTGGGGCCAGACGGTGCTGTTGGCCTGACCGGGTCCGGGAAGAGGTGTGTGGTGTGAGCAGTTCAGTGAGATACATGGGGGCCGCACCGTGCACACAGTGATGGGTGTGCAGAAGAATCTTGTAGCCTACTCTATACGGGCGTGAATGGGCAGCCAGTGTAAAGTGTGAAGGATGGGAGTGATGTGCTGGTGTTTCCTCACCCTCATCAGGACCCTGGCAGCGCTGTTCTGTACATACTGGAGCTTCTGAAGGCTCCTGCCAGAGATCCCGACGAGGAGAGCGTTGCAGTAATCCAGCCTAAGGTTAATGCAGCACAAAAAATTAATAGCACCAAAATGTCAAAGCAATTACTAACATGTAACAGAAGAATAGAACTCCCAGAGGCTGCATACCGTTAGATGGTGTAGAATCAAGGTGGCTAAGCAGGTACAGAGGGAATTGAGCTTCTTGAAAACCTTACATCTCTGTTATAACTTTTAGTTTCTGTTTCTTTAAGCGGTGTAAAGCACCCATACCCACAATATATTTTAATAGAGCATTATGTGATAGACTAATGCAAAATGAACAGAACTGAAAAGTAAATTATAGTAGTTGTATGCATATGAATTAAGTCTCCTTTACCATAATGTTCCTAAATAAAATATAACAAGGAGCCTTCAGGTCAGAAGGTATTTATTAAATAAACTGTATAAAAAGGCATAAGCATTTTTTCCTCAAAATCAGATGTGAAATATTCATTAAGTTTTCCAATTTTATGTCTATTAGAATTGCCAAAATTATTTCTATTTGATAAACTCCAGAATGAGAACAGAAGGGTTATTTTTGATGATAATTTAATATTTTCCTCATATTCACCAATTTACACTACAAATCTATGCCTTTTAAAAATTTGGGATGTTATGTCTGGATGTCATTTACGTAAATGATGTTGAAGTTTATGATAGGATAGGTTTATTGACATTGTGAGTTGATATGAGCACAACATCTCAAACAGTTCGCCTCTTTGTGTGACATAATGAAAACATAAAAAGAAGGAAGAGAATGGTGGACTTGCACAAGAGTCTTCACCTCATCTTCAAACAAATAAACACAAGTATCAATACCATGGGACTGTATAGCTGTTATGGTGCACAGGAAGCAGACCTGGTCTGTTTCCCAGTGATGAACATGATGTGGAAGGAAATGTGAATAACAACCCAGGAACTAAAGTAAAAGACCTTGTGAAGATGCTGACTGCCAACTTTTCTGAGAAGCATGTGGACTGTTATCCAGCACATCCCACAGTTTAAAATCAAGAGTACCAAATATATATATAAAAAAAGTATGTTAGCTTCAAGAAAAAATAAAACTGTCTAATTAATGATTGATGAACATTCTGTCATTGAATGAATATATGAGAATGAAACAGTTATGTATACCGGTACATAGAATTTCCTAATTTACTTATAAGTACACACTCCACAAGTTCCTTAAATGAGTAAATAAATCATTATATACGTAAGTATTCACATGTGCCTAAAAATATCTTAATTCACACAGTTATTACCCACACAATCACTGGCAAAATATGTAAAGCCATCTACAGTGACTGAATACACATTGATGTTTGCTAACATTCTTCCAGTCATCTGGAAAATAGAGAATTATAATAAGGTTGGTAAGATGTTTTAAAAGCAGGGATACATTATAAAGCAATACATTTAGCTTTGAACATTTCACAGATATCTGCATTATCATTTAAATATGGTTAGAGTGTAGGACAAATGTGAACCTACCAAAAAAAAAAAACAGCTTTTGACTTACATTTACAGCCCGACCGAGAAGATAGATAATTAGCGACTTTACCGACTTCCATTGTGCATGGACAAAGATTTGTTGGGATAAAGAGTCCCAGACTTGAGGTACTGGAAACTACTCTATTAAAAAAGGGCACAAGTTCAAAGGCGTTGCTTAGATAAATAGTTGCTTTTTTTGTGTGTGTGTTTTTTTGTTTTACACATTAAGAGCATTCATCAAATATCTTTCTGAAAGACTGATAATCAGAATGTTAATATGGAAAGAAATCCATGACATATGGTTTAAAGTTTGCCACAAGCATAAAGTGCAAATATGTTGAAAATAGATGCTCTGGGCAGATGAGACCAAACTGAACTTTTTGTGAAGATTTAAACGCTACTAGTGAGAAAACTAACACTGAACACCAGTCCAGAACACACAGTGAAACATGGTGCAGATGGCAGCATTAGGGTGTTGGGTTGTTTTTCTGTAGATGGCAACTGACCATAGAGAATGATAGATGGAGTTGAATATCAGGTAATTGTGGAAGAAAACTTCCACTGCTGCAAAAGGATTCTCCTGTGCCTGCCATGTAATGGAGTGATTTAGATAATTTCTATAAAGGCCTAGTCAAAGTCCAGCCCTTAGTAAGAAGAAAATATTTGGCAAAAAACAAAAATACATTTTAAATCTATTTGATATTGACAGAAAACTGTGTAAATTTGGGATACAATTCGACAAAGCTGTACTCACAGCTATATAGGTTCAAAACAGTGGTGAGGAAGATAATCCTTAGATTTTAATATATAAAATTATAAAAATAATTAACTGTATATCATTTTACTTGCACATCAAAATCCTGCCCCATTTTCCATCACATATTGTTTGAAAATCAATCTGAGGTTTGTGATAGCAGGGTGAAAAAATGTGAAAAGATTTAAACGTTATGTCCAATTTTGTTGGACATGGCATTTTGAAAACAAGACATTAGCAACATAACCCCACTGCTCACTACTGTAGTATTCTACATCATTTCTGATAGTGACCCAAACATTGCTGTTTTTATATTTGATGTCATTTTGTACAACCTACATGGCACTTTGCACAAGAAGAAAGTCTTTAATAGGGATGAATAGAAAGTGTATTTTCCTGTGGCAAATGCACTACTAGGTAATGAAAGTACAATGATTTTAAAATTAATGTTTGTTAAAATTATTGTTAAAAACACATTTTTCTTTGTCCTACTAGGAATTCTTTTTAATTGTAAGTTGGGCATTAAGGATTTAAGCCACCTATGGCATTGACACCCAAGATGATATCAGGCATTGGACTTCTCTGGATAGCTTTATTTTTCACAAGGGTTGCAGCTAAGCTATCTACTCATAATTGGTTAATGGATTGCTCTGGTCTAATGCTCAAAGATTTGATACTGTTTTATACTGTTCTCCTGCAGGAACTGGGTTTAATTGGTCGTATTGGTTTAAACTTAATTACATTTTATTATTTTTTGTTTTTGTTCTTTCTAGCTCGGGAAAATGTCATCTACATTTTAAGAAAGGCACATTCATTCTAACAGGACGACTGACGCACAAATACGCATGGAACGGCGGCTGTGACGCATGCTCAGAGGTTTTGATTAGATCTCTCCCTCCCTCACTCCTCCGTCTGTCTCTTTCTCTGTCTCTCTTTCTCTCAGACCAGGAGCATCTGCATGTGTATTCAGGCAGGGATGAAAGCGGCCAGCAGGTTCTTATAAAACTCATTTTTCTCTCCCTGTAAAGTGCAGTGGGGTGTGATCATAGGTGCTGAAAGTGCAGCGCTCTCTCCCTGAGGACAACCACTGCTGCCGAGGAGGGAGAGGAAGAACTAAGAGGAGAAAGGAGGGAGATGGAAAGGAACTAATGGCCAAAAGCAGGTGATGAGATGTTGAAGATGTTTAGTGACTGATTGAGGCGCACCGTTGGTGAAGTTCAGCTCTGGTTTGCGCCACAGCAGGTGAGTGGACGCTGAGGAGCAGCTTCTTTCAATTAAACCAATGATGCAGTTATGCTTGCGCAAAGAATACTGAGGGTCTGGTTTGATGTCATACAACCAAACCAGGTCACAGACCGCTTCTGGTGATTGCTTGATTGATTCTGGTTGTCCTTTACTAATAAGGGCGCGCACACTGGGGATGCGGGGGCGCGCCTCTTCCCATTCAAGGATTTGTCATGGTTCGCGGCTCCGACCGTCATGTAGCTTATTGGAGGGTAGGCGCACCTCCTATGGATGGTCCGTGTCAGACACAATAATGAGATGAAATCGACGAGATGTTTCTCTGTGTTCTTCATCACTAAATAACAGACATGGGAATTCAATCTTGCAGCACCATGAAGCAGAAAACACGTTTCAGCAACATTGAAATCAGTCCTATATAAACTCTACAGCTCAGACAGCTGCTTGGCTCTTACTGAATGCTATTTTTGGAAGCATCATAAATTGATTTAACTACCACATTTCTTGCCTCGGATGTCATGTCAAATATAGAACAAACCTCTTCGGCTCTGTCTTCAGTTTGTAAAATGTGATCCTTCTTAGACCTCACCTTTATGGTTGTGCAAAAATAAGCTTTGTGAGTAAAACAAACAAAAGCAAACCAAAAAACAGCAGCATTGCAGAGGCAGACTGCATCACCCGGCACAGTTATTAACTGGGAAGAGAAAAGCCAGACAGAAACATCCTGATCTCTTCTTGCAGGTTAGGTGTTTTCATGCAGCAGCCGATCAGGTTTCATTTAACTACCAGTGAGAAGAAGTAAGACTAATTTTCTGGGATGTGATCCGGAGCTTTTGATTGTGGCCATTTGTGTCATACGGAAATCAGCACCTGGCTGCCAAAGTTGATTTTATTTATTTATTCTTTTACACATAATTCACCTTCATGCTTTATTCTGGAGAGGGAATACATGAAATGTTCTCTTAGGGATCATGTGAACATAAAATCCCCATTTAGTGCAAGATTGTTTTCTGGGGTTGTTATTTATTTTTACCCAGAAGAGACAAACATATATTTTAAAGTCCAATGATAATAAATTGCAGCTATATTTATGAGGACTGTGTGGTAAAAGAGGTTTTCTGAACTTATGAGCAGTGAAAGGTTTCCAGATGCCTCTTATTTGTTTATTTTTATTACATCCAGGACAGACATTTTGTAATCTGGATATCAAAACAGACCTTTTTTACATATTTTCTTGTGATTCGTTTGTGGTTATAGCTTACAACAAATAATACAACTTTGAACTAAACTAAAATGTTAACTCCTTTTAAATTCAGCTAAAACAAGATATTTTCACACTCAGGCATCTCTCAAACATAAACTGAAGCTGAGGTTGACTTATCGTTTTCCGCATAAGGTTAGTAAGAACAGTTGAAATTATATTTGTGCTAAAACATTAATAGCCTACATTAAGATCAATTTCCCTATAAAAAATATTTAATAATTTGGATGATAATGTAATGGATTTTACAGCTCTTGATTGATTCAGACCATTTAAAATGAGGAAAAAACGCAGTTTTATTTTTGGCAACAACCACACTACTGCTGCTTGTGACATTATGGGAAACTATATCTTGTGTTATGCTTAACTAATAAAAGTTAAGTTTAAACACAAAAAACAGTAAAAAAAAAAACATTTGAAATTGACACAGATTCAGTGGGAAAGACATTAATTTGTTTATGAAATGTACATATTAGAAAAAAAGCAAATAACCTTAAGAAGATGTCGGCAAAAGCTTGTAAGAGTTTGTTCTTATATGGAGTTAAATATATGAAACTGACATGGAATCCGTTCAGAGAAGAATTTGTTACTACAAGAATAAGCATAAAAAGGCAGATTAGAATTTACAGAAATACCCAGGCAAGAAGATCTGATCTGATGAAACTAAGATAGTGGTGTTTGGCCATAATGACAATCACTGTACTTCGTGTAGAAAAGGGGAAGTTTCCATATTTAACAAAAGCACAGCAGCATGCTGTGTAGATGCACAGCTGCAGGAGGGACTAGTGCACTTCCCAAGAACAGATATTTCTAAACAGAAGACTGATAGATAAGAATACAGTCAATTTAATCACAGAGCAGACTGTAGACAAAAAGTAGATTTTCCAAGGTGTCCATCATAAAGCCAGGGTCTCAGTCAGATAGGACATTTGGATCTGGTGCCTAATGGTAGGGGCTTTTAGGGAAGTGACAGATTCACCCTGGAAAGGTCACAAGTACATCACAGCGAGAAACAACCATGCAGACACACACCTACACATAAGGTCAATCCATAATGATCAGTTGACTTAGCAGTCATGTTGGTGAACTGTGGAAGGAAGCGTGAGAACCAGAAAAGCACCCACACTTGCATGAGGAAGAAAAATCAATTCACAATGACAGATCTAATAAATTAGATTCCGATTTGCATCTTTTATAGGTTACATAAAAATGTCTTGTCTCAGCTTTATCGGGATTGATGCTATGTGTGGCACATGCTAAATTTATCCATTTACAGACAGGAGTCATCTGCCCCTTACAGAGTCCACATTGATCCAAGCAATCATATGCAAACAGTCAGCATCTCAAATATGACTCTAACACGTTTTTGTCCTTGAATATCTTATTATTATATATTTATTTTGATGATCCACACGGAAAAAGAACATCCTCCACTATACCTTTAATTTATATGTTCTGTATAACAGTAACAAGATCATGGATACCAGCTACTAAAATAAGCTTTCATAAGGTGGTAGGACCTATTGATAGGGGGAGGAACTATGATGTCCAGAAGGAACATAGAGTAGATCGACTGTTACTCCGCTGCTGTGATTTTCCATGGATCTAAACAGGATTCTTCCTCTCCTACTCACTTTGAAGATTTTTCTAGCCGTTTTTAACTGGGAAGAAACTACTGGATAGACTCAGAGAGCTCTGGAGGAAATACACCCCCCTAATAGCCTGACACACCAGGAGATACTCAGAAATAGCTGGAAACAGATGGATGTCTGAGTTGCCCTCCTGTTACCTAATCGCAGATCAGTGCAGCACAGCAGGTGGATGAACCACTTTTTATATTTTCCCATAATTATGAGGGAACAGCACATGCGAAACACTAATTCTTAATTAGTGTATTTTGAGTTTTTTACAGCAGAGGACCACAGGTTGGATTCAAACCTGGGTCAGCCATGTCGAGGACTAAGGCCTCCGTACATGGGCCATGCGTGGTAACCACTGCGCCACCTGCACGCCCGACACCCCATGTTTTTAATTTAATTTAAAAAATGAAACAAACAGTATTTAACGTAACGAGATGTCTTTAAAATAACTATATTATTATTTTAATGTTATTTCATATATAACAAAATGTACAAATCTCTAGAAAACAAAAAAGTATGAAGGTGTGCAAAAGTATGCATTCAAGTTCTGTTGAAGACTTGAAAGCATATGCTTTTGCATTCAGAGTCTTATGCTTCCTAAAATGCAGCAGTGAAGATGTGACACATAACATCTGAAACCAGAGTCGAACATGAGAAAACGATTTAGTCATAAACATTGAAATGTGATGTAATTGGTTAGATGTTAAAAAAAACAAAAAACGTTTTTGTTGAGAAATGAAGGGAATGTTGTCTTTGCAGCTGGTTTTATGAGTTTTGTGTGTTTATTTGTCTTATTGTCAGACAGAGCAAAGAGCAGGATTTCACTGTTTAAAAAAAAAGACAGAGGGAAGAAAAGTCATTACAGAGAGAACAAAAGACAAGAGACAAATGGAGCTCTAACCAGTTACTTATATAACACCCATTACCAACAGATACTTAATGCCTATGTTACCCAAGACAAAAAATTGGCTTGATTGGGTGATTAGTGCTCTGCATAATTCAGTTATTGTGGATGTAATGTGTCTGATTACGTGGGGAATGTGGTTAAACTGGGGATCTGTGTAAAGCATACCTGCATTTGGTGCAGGATGCAGGGAAACACGGGGAGATGTGAGTCACTGCTATTATTATCTAGGATATGAAAGATATATGAGATATCAAGCTGAATCCCAGGTAGAAGCAACATGTTGAAGAAAGGAATGGGTGGGCTTGCCGGGGTTTTTCTTTGAAAAAATAACACCGTTTGTGGGGTACTAAAAGGTTTCTTTTTCTCCTGCAGGTGTAGGTCATCTCTGAGGTCTTAGAAAATAAATATGGAGTCAGCTCACCTTCTGAGTGGCTCTAAGAAGAGAGTAAAGATACATCCTCAGACTGTAACGGCCAAGTATGCCACGCAGACCCCCTATGCCCCCCAACCTGGAATACATACCCATTTCCCCCAACCAGGCGATGAGGGCTATGATGACGCTCCGTCATTCGAGGATTTTGGCTCATTCCTGGAGGAGACATCTGACAAGAAACAGCTCACGGAGAGCAAGAAGTGGCCTTTGACATTGTTTGGCTCCAAAGACAAAGACACGTCCCATAAACTCCAAGTGGTGGGAGAAGGAGAGGGAAGTGAGGTGGGAACCAAAGCAGCAAAGGGATCTGGGAAAGGGGTTGGAGAACAACTGGCCAGTTTTGGCGAGGCTTCTGTGTCGGCATCTCGACTCACCTGGTTGGGACTACTCTGTGCTGCTCTTGCACATGGCTGCCTGATTGTCCTTACCCGCATGGCCTCTGAACGCTTTAGCCTTGGACCCCTATTTCTGCTCCTGGTAAGGTCAGTCATTCAGCTTCCATCAGTGGCTGCCCCACTGAACAAGGCAGAGAGCCCATTTGGACCAGAAGGATATCGGTTACGTCTACTCTTTTATGGCATTTCCTACTCACTCTCCCTCTGCTGTGCCTATTATTCCTTAACCTTTGTCTCTTCTGAAAATGGTTCGACAACTTGGCGACTGGCAACTACCACTCTGTCAGCAACCCTTGCCTTCCTGCTACTGGAGGAAAAGCTGGGACTTGCAGATGGGATAACCTTAGCCGCTGGCCTGTGTGGGTTGGGTCTTGTGTTGCTTCCCACAGCAGATGAGAGCTATGAAGACATGCCAGTTGATCCCGTTACTTTCTGGAGGGGTGCTTTCGGATGGTCTCTTTCAGTACTTGCGGGGTTGTGGATGGCCCTGGCGCTGGTCGGGTATCGCTCAATGAAAGATAGGGTTGGTGTCGCCACTGCTCTATTTACTGTGAGTTGGACAGGTTGCCTGCTTACCCCAGCTACTTTGATTCTGATCCAGGAAGGATGGTCTTGGCCTATGAGTTTATCAGCATGGGCCATTCTACTGGGCTTAGTTGCCTCCTCAATAGCAGCCTTCCTGGGAATGACGCACGCCCTCACACGCCTCCACCCAGCCCTGGTCTCCGCTTCACAGAGCTTGGAAATACCTGTTGCCATGCTCTTGCATTTGGCCATATCTCCTGTGACTCCCAATGCTGCCGAGGTTGTGGGGAACGTGATGATCGTGCTAAGCGTTGGCTGGCTGGTGGCTATGAAGCTGCTCCCATCTCGTGGTGTGGGGCGGTGCCAAAGGGAGGAGTATGAGGAGATTCTGGACTCACCCATCAAATAGAAACACTTCAATACCATCACCTACTCTTTCTCCTTCAAAAGTGTCATTCCCATGTACATAAGAGACTAATAGATGTTCACCAGAGCTCGATCTATTTTGTATTGTTTTTGCTTAGAAGAAAGTACCAAAATTGTGTTGTCTGTAAAGTGACTACATGATGTGAAAAATAAAAGCTCTCTGAGAGAATGCTCGTCCTTCAATCACCCTTCAAATTTTTAACATAGGAGGATGCAGGGCATGCACTCTAATGCTACGTTCAGACCGCAAGCGCTGGAAGCAGCAATAAAACGTTTTCTGCTTCATTTTTGATGCCTGTACACATTATGGTCTGATGCGCCTCAACTGCATCTTTGACACTCCTGAAGTGTGTCCAGTAAAGTGTGTCCAGTTCAGTTCAGCAAGATTAACTGCCCTGCCTTCAAATATTATTTTGCGGTTGGAGCAGCACGAACCCCCCGTACAATATGGTATGGGGTGCTCTGTCACTGGAAATCCCCTTCAACGGCAGCCTCTGGCCCGGTCGCCTCTTCGGGGGAATCCGCTACCATTCATGGCATCTAGAAGGCGTTTTTCATGTACTTAATCCAAACTGCAGGCACAAGAATAATAAAAGTGCCTAAGGTGCTAAGAAACTCATGGGGCGCTGCTTCAGCTGCTCAGAAGCATCAAGATGTGCGGTTCCTGCTCGAAAGCCCTGCAGGAAATTTTGATGCACCTTGATGCGTGTCAACTATTGACTTTGCATGTAAACCAGCTGCTTCTGCCGCTTCTGTAGTGTGCGGTTTGAACATAGCATAACTCTACCCATCGCACCCCCTCCACCGTGTTTGACAAGGATTCAAAAGCAGGAAGACAAAGTGGAAATCAAAGAGAATGTCGACTGATTACTGTACCTAGCCTGGCCAGCTGGTCCATAAAAATGTTTTACGCACGAAATAGAGTTATTATATCTTGTTGCCGAGAACATAAGCACCCTTTGGGTTTTTCTCCTGTTTTTACCCTCATTAGCCTTCTACTTTCCTCTCTCCATCTCTCTGTTGCTAGTAAAACACAACAGAAACATGAATAAACAAAGGAGCCATTCTAAAATCCCCCCATCAGATGCACTGCACAGATGGAGACCTTTAATGGAAGTCAAGTATCACCACACAGAAGAGAGCACGCACCTACACATGTAATTATTGCTGGGGGAATCCAGGAGAATCATGAAACAGGTGAAGTGTAAGGTCTGGTAGCGATACAATTAAAATCCACAGCTTTAAGTCTTGTCTGCTGCTGCCAGTGGTTTTTAACTCACCTGTAGATTTAAATGCTTGATGCAGGTGTGAAAAAGAAAGGGACCAAATACAGCCATACAGTCATATTTCTGTGACATTAGTGGTGTGAGGAAACCATTTTCCTTCCTTCCTTCCTTCCTTCCTTCCTTCCTTCCTTCCTTCCTTCCTTCCTTCCTTCCTTCCTTCCTTCCTTCCTTCCTTCCTTCCTTCCTTCCTTCCTTCCTTCCTTCCTTCCTTCCTTCCTTCCTTCCTTCCTTCCTTCCTTCCTTCCTTCCTTCTTAGTTAAACATTAGTTAAAGTTTTACTTGAAGAAGACAAAGAAGATTTTAAAATCAAACCATAAAATGTAAATAAATTGACATGACCCTACTCCACAGTTAAAAGTGGTAAAATCATGCCTGCATAACAAACATCAGAATCAGAATCAAGTTTATTGCCAAGTAGGTTTGGTTACAAGGAATTTGACTTGGTGTTGTTGGTGCAGACAAAAAAACAAAAAAAAAAAACAAAACAAAATAACAAAATAAGATGGAATATATATATATATATATATATATATATATATATATATATATATATATATATATATATATATATATATATATATATATATATATATATACAGGTGCTGGTCATAAAATTAGAATATCATGAAAAAGTAGATTGATTTCAGTAATTCCATTTAAAAAGTGAAACTTGTATATTATATTCATACATTACATACAAACTCATATATTTCAGATGTTTATTTTGTTTAATTTTGATGATTACAAATGACAACAAATGAAAATCTCAAATTCATCATATCAGAAAATTAGAATATTGTGAAAAGGTTCAAAATTGATGGCCCCTGGTGCCACACTCTAATCAGCTAATTAACTCAAACCACCTGCAAAAGCCTTTAAATGGTCTTTCAGTCTAGTTCTATAGGCTACACAATCATGGGGAAGATTGCTGACTTGACAGTTGTCCAAAAGACGACCATCGACACCTTGCACAAGGAGGGCAAGACACAAAAGGTCATCGCTAAAGAGGCTGGCTGTTCACAGAGCTCAGTGTCCAAGCACATTAATAGAGAGGCGAAGGGAAGGAAAAGATGTGGTCGAAAAAAGTGTACAAGCAAGAGAGATAACCGCACCCTGGAGAGGATTGTGAAACAAAACCCATTCAAAAATGTGGGGGAGATTCACAAAGAGTGGACTGCAGCTGGAGTGAGTGCTTCAAGAACCACCACACACAGACGTATGAAAGACATGGGTTTCTGCTGTCGCATTCCTTGTGTCAAGCCACTCTTGAACCACAGACAGCGTCAGAAGCGTCTTGCCTGGGCTAAAGAGAAACAGGACTGGACTGCTGGTGAGTGGTCCAAAGTCATGTTCTCTGATGAAAGTAAATTTTGCATTTCCTTTGGAAATCAAGGTCCCAGAGTCTGGAGGAAAAGAAGAGAGGCACTTCATCCACGTTGCTTGAAGTCCAGTGTAAAGTTTCCACAGTCAGTGATGGTTTGGGGTGCCATGTCATCTGCTGGTGTTGGTCCATTGTGTTTTCTGAGGTCCAGGGTCAACGCAGCCACATACCAGGAAGTTTTAGAGCACTTCATGCTTCCTGCAGCTGACCAACTTTTTGGAGATGCAGATTTCATTTTCCAACAGGACTTGGCACCTGCACACAGTGCCAAAGCTACCAGTACCTGGTTGAAGGACCATGGTATCCCTGTTCTTAATTGGCCAGCAAACTCTCCTGACCTTAACCCCATAGAAAATCTATGGGGTATTGTGAAGAAGAAGATGCAATACACCAGACCCAACAATTCAGAAGAGCTAAAAGCCACTATTAGAGCAACCTGGGCTATCATAACACCTGAGCAGTGCCACAGACTGATCGACTCCATGCCACGCCGCATTGCTGCAGTAATACAGGCCAAAGGAGGCCCAACTAAATACTGAGTGCTGTACATGCTCATACTTTTCATGTTCATACTTTTCAGTTGGCCAACATTTCTATAAATCCTTTGTTTTTATTGGTCTTCAGTAATATTCTAATTTTCTGATATGATGAATTTGAGATTTTCATTTGTTGTCATTTGTAATCATCAAAATTAAACAAAATAAACATCTGAAATATATGAGTTTGTATGTAATGTATGAATATAATATACAAGTTTCACTTTTTAAATGGAATTACTGAAATCAATCTACTTTTTCATGATATTCTAATTTTATGACCAGCACCTGTATACAAACAGTAGACTGTGCATTAATGTGACGCAGAAATCCTGAATGGGGGAGAGAAACATTGTCCAGTGTCACGGGTGGGTCTTGGCCTTGTTGATAAGGCCGATAGCAGATGGGAAAAAACTGTTTTTGTGACGGGAGGTTCTGGTCCTGATGGACCGCAGCCTCCTGCCAGAGGGTAGTGACTGAAATAGTTTGTGACTGGGGTGCGAGGGATCAGCCACAATCTTCCCTGCACGCCTCAGAGTCCTGGAGGCGTGCAGCTCCTGGAGAGATGGGAGATTGCAGCCAATCACCTTCTCTGCAGACCGGATGACACGCTGCAGTCTGCTCTTGTCCTTAGCGGTGGCACCAGCGTACCAGATGGTGATGGAGGAAGTGAGGATGGACTCAATGATGCAGGAGTAGAACTGCACCATCATTGTCCTGGGCAGGTTGAATTTCTTCAGCAGGAAGTACATCCTCTGCTGGGCTTTCTTGGTGAGGGAGTCGATGTTCAGCTCCCACTTTAGGTCCTGGGAGATGATAGTTCCCAGGAAGCGGAAAGACTCCACATTGTCAATGGTGGAGTCACAGAGGGTGATGAGCTGGGGCTGCGCTCTTTCTGAAGTCCACAACCAACTCCACTGTTTTTAGAGCGTTGAGCTCCAGGTTGTTCTCCCTGCACCAGGTCACCAGATGGTCAGCCTCCCACCTGTAGGCGGACTCGTCACCATCAGAGATCAGTCCGATGAGAGTGGTGTCGTCTGCAAACTTCAGGAGCTTGACAGACTGATGACTGGAGGTGCAGCTGTTGGTGTACAGGGAGAAGAGGAGAAAGAACACAGCCATGGGGGGAACCAGTGCTGATGAGCTGTGAGTCAGAGAACTGTGTTCCCAGCTTTACGTGCTGCTTCCTGTCCGACAGGAAGTCTGTGATCCACCTGCAGGTGGAGCCAGGCACATTCAGCTGGGAGAGCTTCTCCTGGAGCAGAGCTGGGATGATTGTGTTGAAGGCCGAGCTGAAGTCCACAAACAGGATCCTGGCGTAGGTTCCAGCGGAGTCCAGGTGCTGGAGAATGTGGTGAAGGGCCAGGTTGACAGCGTCATCTACAGACCTGTTGGTTCTGTAGGCAAACTGAAAGGGGTCAAGGAGGGGGTCCGTGATTTCTTTCAAGTGTGACAGCATAAGGCGCTCAAAGGACTTCATGACCACAGAGGTCAGGGCGACGGGTCTAAAGTCCTGTGGTCCTTGGCTTCTTGGGGACAGGGATGATGGTGGAGGATTTAAAGCAGGCTGGCACGTGACATGTCGCCAGTGAGGTGTTAAAAATGTCTGTGAACACTGGAGACAGCTGGTCAGCACAGAGCTTCGAAGTGGATGGAGTGACAGAATCTGGTCCAGCAGCTTTCCGGGGGTTCTGTTTTTTGAAGATTTTGTTTACATCTCTCTCTTTTATGGAAAGAGTTGTCACTGAGGAGGAGGAGGTGGAGGTGATCTGTTGGGTGGTGTTGTGGGGGGTGGATGCATGACTGTCCCTTTGTCTGTCGAAACGACAGTAGAAGTTGTTCAGGTCGTTGGCTAACTGTCGGTCTGAACATACTCCAAACTCAAATAATTTATAGAGACCTTTAAGAAAAGTGTTGATAAAATAAATTCAATTCAGTCTATTTATATTGCGCCAGTTCACAACATGTCGTCTCAAGGCA